TTGCATTCATTATCATCTCAATCTTGTACAATTCATTAGATGATAAATGCCTGGCTCTTAACTACATGAATACCTATTGCCAACCAAAGGTAAAACTAACGCTATATAGTTCCAATTCTCTGCTGCTTTTTTCCAATTTACCACAAACATGGCCTTGAGCTACCCTCTAGTGGATGAAGAAGGTAATTCATCTCTTTCTCTGTGATTTTTAAACTATTTTATCCATGAATTAGTCCCTCCCTGTCAAGCAGATCTTACCTGCCAAGTGTACAATAAGTCAGAGCAGACAAAAAAGGACAAGTGGGTTTATCTGTGGAGACCCACATTGAGAAGGACATGAGACTCTCTCTCTTGCCTTATTTATTCAGTGGGGTTACCATCAGCAGTACTTTGTATTCTTGACATCCAGCTATGAGTGTCTTGTATTCAGTTGTAGCTAATATTTTGCTGACTATGAGGACACTGTCCTTTTTGGTATATGTTTGTCAGGTCTATGACCCTAATTTAACAGACAGTGGTTCCTATTATTCCATGAAAAAAGAGAAAGGGAATGACAGTGAAATTGTTTGAAATGGAATAAAGTGCAATATTGTTATTTTGATGCTGGGAATTCAAGTCCTTCCTCTTTCTAAACAGAGTACTGTGTCTGAAATGCAGGTTTCCCCTGTTATGGTTGTGTTTGTCTGCATAACCCAGTGAGCAGCTTTGTTACGAATATGTGCCTCTTGTTTGCTTGCTCCTTATGTTTAAACACAAATGGCACGCTTGGATTTGTATGTGAGCCAAATAAGACAGTTTCTGTAGAACTTCCCACTTAGACGTGTCTTCTGTTGGTAAATGTTAGCCTAATTAACCCTGCTTAGGTTCCTAAGGTTAAAACTAAGCTGAGAAGAAATAGCTGAGGTTTTTGATGCAGCTGTGTTAATTAGGACAGGTGAGAGGCCTCACTCAATCAGGAGCTGATAAAAAGGGCTGCTGCTTACTTCCTGAGTAATAGGGATAGATGCAGGTTATAGGCTTGAGCAAAGCCATCTAGGATGAGTCTCGGGTATTCCTAAATGTTTTCTTTAGTGATACTGTTATTTTTAAATGAGCAACAAGGATTTAAAATGAAGACTTTCCTTTAGCTAGAGCATTTCCTGTCACTCCTGTTCTTGATACAAAATGTTGCACGGAGTTGCACTCTGCTCTCTGGATTTTGCTCTTTGGATTAAGAGCCGTATAGACCTTGTTCTCCTTAGGGGTGTGTTAGTGTATATGTACCCAGGAAGGCTCTTTCACAGTATGGCCATGTAATACTATATCCCATGCAGGCTATGCTCCTGATAGAGTCCATCTTAGCACATGTACCTGCTTATTCTTTTAAAGTGCTAACTGGGTGTCATAGTCACCCTCTCTATGAGCATTTGGCCTTGGCCGAGAGAATGACTCTTTTCTTTTCAGAACAAGCTGAGAGAAAAAAAATTAGGAGCAACATTTGGAGCAGACCTACAATACCTAAATATTAGGCAGTTGGGTGTGCGATTGTTGTAAGGAGAAACGGACAAGTGAAACTAAGATCAATTTGCTTTATCTTCTGTTCATCATAACATCTCAGGGTGGTTAGTTCTTTCACCTTCAGGGTAAGGGGACCTGCAGACTCATTTGGAGGGCAACAACTGGAGAAGTAACTATACTAGTATTTCAGACAGAGCACCTGCACCTTGCTGACCAGCCCCTCCTTCATAGCATTAAGTACCCCAACTAATAAACCTAGAAGCAGCTGTTGAGTTAATCTGGTAAAACAATATACCTTGTACAGTCTACCCTAGAGCTGTCACTGGCAGTGTTACCTGTGCTTATCTTAACCCCATCCAGTCTGTATCTGCAATGGAAAAGATGTATCTGCAATTAAAATAGGAATGAAGAAATCACTGACCTGCTATTGTGGGTGAATCAGCTAAGATGGAAAGGGGAAACTTCAAGAAGATAGCTGACCTCTTTAGTCTGAATGAGGCAGATTTGTATTGCAATTAACACCAGTAATTAGAGAGAGCCCATCTTTCTGCACAGATGGACTACTCTGCTCTTCTTGCCCCAACTGGCAAGCTAACAGATGCCACTTCAACAGTTTGTTTGGCAAAAATATACCTCTTTGGTACCACAGATGCCATTTATAGTGTGTGTTGTGGGCCAGTTGCTTAATGAGGGATGGCTTGAGAAGATATATTGAAAAGCAGTAAGAAGCCATTTCTCATTCTCCCTGAAACCTGTTTACTGCTGGTGGCTGCTTCTCTTCTTTATGCTAATGCTATTGGATGCTGAAAATTGGCATAACCTTAGGATATCAGCCTTCATTGTCTACTTACTACATATTTAACACAGCGTGCTTGTTACTTCTCCCATTTTTGGGAAGGGCTCTATGTTATCATGCTTAAAGCTACATCATTATTTGCCTTCAATCCCGCCTTAAACCTCCTTTGTCCTGTGCTTGCCTACAAACACTAGTGAGAAGCAAGGGGGTTTTTGGTAGTACAGTAAAAGCTCTGTTATCTGGCATCCACCGGGAATGGGAGATACCGGTTAATCAAATATTTCGGGTAATCAAATGTGCACCGTCTGGTGCACTCCCCGGCATCAGTGTGCCTGGGGACAGGAAGGGGGGCCCTGCACAGGCTGCTTTGCCCCACGCAGGCTGCTTTGCCCCAGGCTGTGGGCTGAAGAAGTGACAAAGAAAAGCTCGGTTTGTGGTAGCTAAACCACAAGTCTCTCTGAAGTGGTACTTCTGGTTTCACTTTTGCCACGTCCCTCAGATGCCGGTTAGTAGAGTTTTCCAGCTAATGAAGTGCCCTTTAACACAGTTTTTGCTGTATATTTGACCGCTGTAAGGGAGCTGATGTAAGGAGACCATGACCTCTCATTCTGACTAGCATAGCCACATCATTTCTTTGTGTTCCCTCATATGTCTGTATCCACCTGTTATCTCCTGTCTTTACTTAAATCTCTACCCCAGGAAATGTACAATCTAACTCTTGTTCTGCATTTGCACAGTGTCAAGCACAATGCAATCCTAGTCAATGACTGGAGCTCATAAGTGCTAGTGCTGTACAAATAAAGAATTGGACAGGCAATAAAAGCCTGATTCAGGGGGCAATCTGGGCCCTCATAGTGTAAGCCCAGACCTTATAGGCCCTGGTTGCCTGGCTGTAGCTAGAAGGCCCTGGGTCTGTTTCTGATCACTCTGTTGCCATGACTCTTCTAATCTATCCTGTCCTATGCAGGAAAAATTGTTAGGGGACCCCTGCTTGGCCAGTTGAGATCTACAATCATTTGATCACTACCTAACCCTCACCTTGTAAATACTGACAACTCCACTGTTGTAATAGGATTGTTTACGGGAAAACAAAAGATTTAAGGAAGCTCTGACTCATGTGAGACATTTAGATATGGTAAAGTATCTTGGACTCTATGTTCATGGCCTCTAGACTGTTTGATTAGAGAATGGAGAGGGACCAGTTCTTGCAGTTCCTTTAGTGCTGGTTGTCTTCTGTACAAGTCTGAGGGTCCTGGGAAGATTCAGCATTTGTGGGCATGTGTACTTGTTGAATTCTCTTGGCAGCCTAAAATACTAACTTGCACCTGCATGTTTTTCTAGACACTGTACATGACATTTTGGACTCTGTTTCAGAACACGCACGGGGTTTCAGAATTGATGGGGCCATTTAAATCGCATGTGTGGTTGAGGGTATGTTTTGTGGTGCAGGAGCTTAAAAAGATTTTGAACCTTTAAGTGCTTCTTAAATGATACATAAATCTGCTGGCAAAGTCATAATATTTCACCTCCTGAATGTGAATGGCTAGAAAGCTGGGCAGAAATCCTGAGAGGAAGCAGAAATGTGAAAGGTCTGCTCAGAGGGATACAAGCCATACAGAGCACTCTGTGACCTTGCTCTGCCTCTCCATTTTCTCCGAATCCTCCACATAGTGATACATGCCTCTAGTAGTCAAGCTACTACTAGATACAACATGAATATAGATGATCTCAAGAGTCTTATTGCCCCTCTAAGTGTTTGTTAAATCTCTAGCTGGGAATCATGCTGCTTGGTGTCTGGAAGATGCATATCTTTGTCTCAAATTGCCTAGACGCCAAAAGCATGATGCAGCAGAAGGAGAATGTAAATAAGAATGGGGAAACTGGAATCATTTGAAAATGCCTGGGCAGTTCTTTCCTCTTCCCTGAGCTGGTATGGTCTCCTGATCCACTAATGCAGATGAACAATTGCTATGGATCACCTGCTCACCAGTTAGTGAGAGTGAGTGAACACGGAGATGATGGTGAAGAAGGTCCTAACTCAAGTTCCAAGGCATACTTTGGCTACCTTCTCCCACTTACCCTACACGTGTGGGAACAAGTAGTGGTAATTATAGTGGGCAGCCATTGCTCGTATCCTATACAATGGCTTTCAGTGCCTTAGCCTGATGTCTGCCTGGAACAAGTTTGAATCCATTTTTCCAGAAACAGAACCACATGTTTTCGTGAAGAAATAAAATGCCTATTGCATGTGTTATGGAATACTGTGGTGTTTATTTGAGCCACACATGCTGGGAATATCCTTCTAATATTCTGTATATGCTATAAAGGCAGTTGTGGTATTTTTAAATTAGGCAGATAGTACTCCTTGAATTCTGGATGAGTGACCAAAGTACCAATATGGAGAATATAATTGCATATATTTATCATTGCATATATTTATCAGATTCCACATTCTTAATAAATGGATTACCCATGAGCACAGTAAATGGATGTAAAAATGATGTTGCCTAGGTCTCTAGATTTTTCATGAGCCTAATAAAGGGTATGTAACAGGTTTATCATATGTTCTGGCTATCGTACCTAATCCCTAAAAATCGTCAGCCTTTGACTATGTAAACAAGGAACATGACCACTATCTGGCTTTTTTTCAGACTTTCATTTGCTTCTATTGATCAACAAACATAGAAATGACTGTAAATATTTCAGGTATTTTAAAAATACACATTTATTACGCCACAAATGCAATGGCTTCTTGGCAGTATCTGCAAAAACACAAATATATTGCCATAACTTATATTCTTTTTTGTATAATATGGTTCTCTTTTCATGCAATAAAAATTACAGAAATGTATTAACATAGAATACAAGGATATACTTACAGATCTGATTTATACTGGTATGATTTTTTTAAAGTAACCTGCAAGGCAGCAGGATTTCAGCACTGTCCTAAATCAAGTTTGTCATACATGTTTCTACCTTTTATTTTATTACCTTTGTTTACTCTGTGGCAAGGAATAGACCAATAAGTAATTGGTAACAAAGGAACCATTAAGGCCTGGTCCTGCATTCCTTTCATGTGCAAAATCCCCAGTGAAGTCAGGTAAGTTCAATGAAAGGGGTTTTTTTTTTAATATTTTCAGAAATTTGTAATGTAACAAGGAAAAAAGTGTTATTTATATTATAGCAAGGACTTGAGAGTAACAGACTACAAATGACATTACAAGGGAAATAGCTGTGGAAAACCAAAAAGACATTGTAGAAAACCATTCTACAGAGAATTATTAATACAGACAATATTTGAATTATTTTTTTTTGGCAGGTCAAGTTCAGTACTGTGGTACTCAGGAATAAAAAACAGCAAAATTTGTCATTAATTTATGTCAAGCCCTACACTATGAAGATTTATAACTATTGTCCTCCATGAAATTCACCGTGAATTGTGGACTAAATGCAGGATCAGGCTCAAAAATGATGAGACCTACTGTAAAAAGAGAAATAGTTAATAAATAATCAAACCAACACTGCTTTTTAAAACAGGAACAAACTCATTAACAAATTAAAATTGAGCTTTAAAATTGCTTGAAGTCATTTGTTTCACACTTTGGATTGAGCAAAGTAGATGTTTAATTTTATTTTTGTTACTAGTATAATCAGATGTGTGTGGTATACTTTGTTTCATACTTTATTTCAAATAAAGTTCCATGTTAAGAGTGTTTCCAGTAGTAGGCTTTTACTGTTCACTTACTGTTTATCTCCTCTTTCCTGTACTCCAAAATTCACACCGACTTCAGTGGATTTTTAATGAGATTTAAGAAATTCAGGATTGTGCTATAACCACACAGTTACAGATGTTAAATCTTCTTACACCACAGAGATCCTAGAACACATGTGTAAAACATGTTATCTCCATTTTCCTAGTACCCCAGTAGGTCTAAGAATCATTTCTTCTAGCATTAGGGTTAGAATATATGACTTCAGTGTCTCAAGGTAGTAAACATTTGCTGGCTGCCAGAACTGGGAGTCTGTATTCTTCTCCTACTTGCTTGTACACATTGTGGGTCTATGCCAGAAATAAGAGACAACTTTAAACTTAAAAAATATGGAAATTTACCAAATCACAGACTGTGCATTAAACTCCTAAACCCCAAAGAAATAAAACTCGGTAAATGGTAATGTTAGGAAAATGGCGTGAATGAAATAGGTGAACAGAGAAAAAATCCTATTGCCCTCAAAAGTTTTATATGTATCAAATACAGTTTTGCACAGGACATGAATGAAATAAACTGAGACAAACAAGGTCTGATCTAATGCCCAATAAAATTAGTAAAAGGACTCAGATTTTAATGGGCATTGGGTCATGCTCACTTTGTCCACAGTTTGAATCAAAGACTCATCAAAGGAACATAGGAACCAGGACAACGCAGCCTAGTCAAGTAAAGAGGCAACATTGAAATTTTCACAATATATTTATTATAAAGCCTACCACACCTCAAACGCTGTGTACCCCATAAACATCAGAGAGGAGAACTGGTACAGTATGCTGAAGTGCATAAAGTCTAACATCCTTTCACACATTTTCTCCTAAAGCAAATATAAACACACAAATATAAAACAGCCACATTCAATGGAGTTACATCACTGATGAATTTGGCCCATTATATTAAGAAACCCATCTTTTTTTCTTTAACAATAAAGCAAATCTTCATCCATGTCTTACCATTTGTCTTTGTACAGTTACCATATTCTTGTTATCTCTTCTCTGGGGAATATGCATAAATAGGCATCAATAAAACCTATTCCCCAGATTGGTATTAGTGAGGTACATTTGCATGCATTATTTAAGATGAAAATGAGTACTTGAATTATATTGTACTCCTGGTGTTTCTAATGCACAGTACAATGATTCTAAAAGTCTCTTGTTGTCATGTTGTTGTTTGCTTCTTATAGATTAAGACGTAGAAATACAGGTAGGTGAGGCAGAAATCATGTGTGAACAAGTTTTCCAAATCTTGTTTCCTTAGGAAATAATATCTTGCACTTCAGTAGTGCCTTCAAGCAGCCAGATTTGGCCCCTAATGATTTGATCCTAGAAGCCTTGATAATGAGATGCCCTCATTTAGCTTTGCTGGTCTATGTTCAGTACTGCTGAGGACATTCTGCTGAATTAGTATGGCAAAGTAAGCGACAAAAAGAGGAAGTAAATGAACAACAGACAAGGAAAAATGAACCGAGAAACAAACATTTCATCCCTATTCACTGCAACTTGGACTTCAGGCACTATTGACATCATGCCCCAAATACAGCAGTGAATGTTAGACTGCATTTTCTATTACATACATTCTGATGAGACTGACAGAGATCCTCTTGAACTGAGAGGTTGCTGACATTCACTTGTTAGGAGTGCATCCACATCTCACAAGTAACTCATCTAGTCTCAGCATGACCCATGTTCCTCACAATTTTAATGTCCCATCACTTTTATTGTTGAAAATTATTTACATGAGCAATAAAGAGGAGGGAAACTGAGGCTTCTGAAAAAGCCACTTATACCAACAGAATAAATCTCAAAATGTTTGTTTCCTTCACAGACAATTTTGTGTCTTTCATTTTGCATCTTTGTTCCATGTGTTCCCCATTTGAATCTTGGCAGGTTGAGAGGCATGTTCACATCTATTTACATCAGAGTTTATCAGATTTTTTTATTCAAATGCAAGAAGTAGTACATCTCCAGTACTACAAGTGAGGAGCATTTTGATTCAGTGGTCTGAATGGGGATGAGTCAAGAGATGCTATTTTGTAAAGGGAGGGCTGATTATTGTTGGGTTTGATTCTCTAAAAATGTTCTATCTTATTTTTCCCTTTCCCTGGGAAGAATCAGAGGGAAACCGAGAGAGACTAAAGCAAACTATGGCTTGGATCTAAGACAACATTATGAGCCTTTGAACTCATTTTCATGTTTCTCAAAGGCAGGAGGAAAAGGAAACTCTCCTTTGTTTTAATGAAGTTTGTGACTCAAAGCTAGGGATGTAAGTGTTCTTCTGCAGCTGTAGGGAGGAGGGAGGTATTTATTTAGACTTATGCCAATTCCCTACTTCAGTCTGTTGTTAGAGCAGGGATAGTGGATAGTAAGATCTAGGAACATTAACATAGTTGGTCAGTGTTCATTATCTGTAAAGAGCTGGCTCCAGAGTAAGGGCCTATTCAAGCTCTCCCAGCTCTGATTTGTTCTGTGTATGATGGAATGTGGATGTTCACAACTCTAGCAAGAACTATCATCTTCTACAGTTTATTTACTAACAGGACAAGCCATTTACCTGGCTGCATCCTAAAAATAACTGTGCAACTGGTATAAAAGCTTTGGCTTTTTTCCCTACAAGTTGTGCCTGCACACTTGAACTCATTTTTCAAGATTTTTATGAAAATTTGGTTCTGCACAATTTTTAGCACTTACTAATTTCCACATAAAACTGTGGGAAGGTAAGTATGTCTTGTCATCTAACATATAAAATTGCTCTATACTGGCTATACCTTTTGTATTTCATTCATGGAAATTTAAAACTATACAGTGAGACAGCAGAAATTGCCTTGAAAGAGTCAATATCTGTTAAAAACATTCTACACCCATTTTGCTCCATGAATATGCAACAGTGATGCAAACTTGGCAACCTCTTTTAATGTCTGGTAACAAATTGATTTGGATAGGTCAATGCAGCTATGAGAACTATGTACACCACAATAATTGCAGGATATAATAGAACTGATTTGGTACTATTACAGTAATAGCAACCTAAAGCCACTCTGTAGTAGATTAAGCCACTAACATAGAAAAGGCTTCTGGAACAATGAGAAAGGCAATATCCACAGCTGGAGAAAAATTAAAAGAACGCCTGTCTTAATGAGAAGCTAAGACAGGTCCCAGTAGTTTATGTACAGTACTTTTACTTTACACTTAGAATAAAATAAAGAGAAGGGTTAAACATATCCCCCTCTTTCATCCATAACTGAGCAGCATTATATGGCTCCAGTAAAACTGTAAGTCCAATACAAGGTATGCCCTACTAACCTCAATGAGTTGAGAAAATCTTTGTTGTTTCTAATTCCTTTGCTTGCAGTTGTCCATCTCCACAAGAATAGATCAAATATTTGAGGCCAGATTCCCTGGTCTTGTGCTGCTGCTTTGTTTCACACTGTTAACAGACCCTGTTTGTAAAACTAATGTCCAGCCCCAGAAGGATGCGGTTGTAGTGAGTTGGCAGTATGCTTCTGCATAAGGCTAAGGAACAGGGATGTGACTTATCCTGCGTGATCCTCTGCTCTTCAATCTCTTGAGGCTGTTTACACTTGTCATAAATTAGAGAAGCCCTTGGACTGCTCTAATTTACACAAGGGACCAGTTCTATATACTGAAGTCTTTGCACTGTGGGACTGCAAATGTGAAATTTGCATGATCTCTGCAATCCTTCCCTTACACACACACACACACACACACACACACACACACACTCTTGCACCACATGTTCCTTGATTTGTATCCAAGGATCTGGGATGTTATCTTACTACTCGACAACTGAGTCAGTGATCTGCCATTAAAAAAGAAACAAGAAAGAAATTGAACTTTTTTTCCAAGGTGTTGCATAGCACATATCTTTCCCCATAGTAAGTACCCAGTGTTCAGAACTGGCAATCAGTTTAACCCATGAATTCAGTTCTTAAAGAACTATCTGCTCTGCTACAGCTTTAGGATATTGATTCTGTGACTTTTTTTCAATTGAAGTACTCGGCATACAGCACATAGTAATCAATGCAACCTGAGAATGATTTATTTAAGAGATGCACGGACTTTTGGCCCTTTGCCTTGAAGCTGTAGTCCTAGCTGCTGCCTGTAGAAGAGCATACTGAGCTGCACATATTTAAATTGGAATTCTCAGATTCAGCTTCTGTCTCAGCTTCATCAGTAGTTTCAGGAGGAGAAACAGACTCATTCATCTGTTCTTGACTCTTCTTCAGCCTGTCCAGAATATAGGAAACACATTATAGGAATTCCTCCAAGTACCAGGGACTCATGAAAACTGCACCCTTCCCACAAAGCTAGAGGAGCTGAGACTAGATACCACCTAAATGGGAGGAGGGTCCCATTTTGAAAAACTTATATTTAGTATACAAAGGTATATAATTCTTGGTAATGGCTGAAATGCCAGTGAAACAAATGCTGAATGAAGTTGTCTATATTTTTTGTATACTTGAAAGAGGCTTCTCTATCCCAACTGTGCAATTAGTCCAATCAAATATATCAACCCAAAAAATCCTTGTCTCTAGCATAATTCCTGGACTATCATGGCTACAATATCACTTTAGCACCACCTGTATATACTTGAGGTTGTTCTAACATATCCTAACATTTCTATATAAGGTGTTGCCTTTGAACTATAATCTTGTTTTTAGAGAATTAACAAATCATGTACAGTACAGCTTGTTGTTTTAAATATAAGGGCATATATGGTTCTGTACAGGATATAAAGGAAAATATATTAACTTGCTGGGGGCTCATCACCATCTCAGTTTATGCAAGGGGGATTTTGTTTCCTCCTACCTTAGAGAGCTCTGCCTTCCATTAATTTGTTTCATTTAACAGCAAAAATGCCACCCAACAGGAAGAAGCTGCTTTTCAATTCTAGTGTTTTTACTCACCCACTGTTGAGCCTGGACAGTAACTTACTATATTTTTTTCACTTTCAGCACAGTATTCTCAAAGAACACAGTTGGGAGGGGATTATAAAGGGACGGGAGAGGATTATAAATTTATTCCTGAATCTTCTAGATATTCTTATCACAGAATCATAGAAAATTAAGGTTGGAAGGGACCTCAGGAAGTCATCTAGTCCAACCCCCTGCTCAAAGCAGGACCATCCCTAACTAGATCAACCCAGCCAAGCCTTTGTCTACTTGGTCTTAAAAACCTCCAAGAATGGAGATTCCACAACCTCTTTGGGTAACCTGTTCCAGTGTTTTACTATCCTATTAGTGAGAGAGTTTTTTCCTAATATCTAACCTAAACTTCCCTTGCTGGAACTTGAGACCACTGCTCCTCATTCTGTCATCTGCCACCGCTGAGGACAGTCCAGCTCCATCCTCTTTGGAACCACCCTTCAGGTAGTTAAAGGCTGCTATAAAATCCTCCCTCAGTCTTTTCTTCTCCAGATGTGGCCTCACCACATCTGGAGAAGAGAGGAGAATAATTACTTCCCTCAATCTGCTGGCAATGTTCCCAAATCTATCCCCATCTCTCTCTGGGCACTGACAGATGTGCAGCTCTCTGCTCCAATTCATGGCACTTCACAGAAGGTGCCATGTGTTAGAACCAACCCCCCGATCCAACAGATGTTTGTTGTTGAGTTAGGGGGTGGGTGATCAAGCTCCACTTTGGAGCTGATCCAGGAGGAACTGCCTGCCTGTGGCCTCTCCCCACTAGCTCTGCCCCCCCACCCCCAGCTCCAAGGTGGAGGGCTCCAATCCACCTGCCCCTCCAGCACAGACTGGGTAAACCCCAGCCCTTAGCTTCCTCCCCTCCCTTCTCTCTCCTCCCATCCTGCAGACAGCACTGGGGATCATGTGCAGGGACAGACAGAAGTTAATGAAGGCACTCTGCTTTGGAGCACCTTCATCTGAACCCTCTTTAAATGACGGTTAATTTGTCGTGCTATTGGACACTTTTAAAGTGCTCTGCAGCTGTGCACTTCTGTCAGGGCCTGGCTGTACAGCACTTTCAAGGGGTCAATAGTGTGTCGTCACTTCTGTCAGCACCTTCTGTGTATTGTATACTTGATTTAATCAGACCATTTAATAATCAGTGAAACTTTCTGGATTTTTTTAGCTACCTCTTCTAAGTAAGAGGTTTTAATCAATGAACCTGCTTTAGTGAAATCAGTAAATTAGAACTGAGCTTGTGACATGATATTCACATTTATGGCTTCCAGGAACAATATTTCATTCTTGTAAATCCCAACACAGCTAAGTAAAAACAAAACAAAACAAAACACGCTCTTTTCTCCTAAAAACATACCCCCTCACTCACTTCTCTCTGTTAAAAATGACAAAGTCTTGCTGGATAGCTTCAAGGCATTCCTGAAGATAGTCATTTTCCTGAGTAAAAAGGAACAAACAGATCATACATATGAGAATCCAGCACCTTTTTATCCTTGTGTTTTCTGCACTATTGCTCTGCCAAGTTATATGTTCATGTCACACACTCAGCTACCAGGAATTTCAGCCTAAATTAAGCTTGCATCTTCATTTCTTAGGTTTTTTTCCTCTGTGTCCTGTTTTCACTTCTGCAGTAATTTTCCTGAAACACATTTAATCTTTATAGGCCTTTACTATATGAGCAATCCAATGAAATGCAGTCTGGTGCAGGTGGCCTACACAAACAGAATTTATGCAGGATTTATGAGGTACATGGACTTTTAAATTGTCCTATGCCCAGGGGAAAATTTCACCAAGGTAACTTCCACCTTAAAGGATTCTATAATACTTTAAAAGCTTGCTTGCACTCTCTCTCTGTGCGTATAGTATATATGCATACATATCATATGTAGTGTTGATATGCACAGGGAGTAAAGGATCCCAGGTTCAGGACAATTTCTTATCTATTACAGCCCTGAGAGCTATGAAAAGTGTGTTATTGTCCTGCAAATCAGCACAATATTGGGCGTTATTGTGCGTTATTGTGCTGCAAATCATGAAACATCCTGACACAGCGTGCCTCAAACTTCCTTAGTAATGAAAACCTCTGAAAGTTATTTTAAGTTTGCTTATTCTGGTTTTGTTTTGGGGCTTCCTGAATTATTCTTCCGGTCTTTTACAGTAACCTTCATTGATTGTAATGTTAGCAACTGCTCAGTGAGGAAATGATCTATTGCTGCTAATTGACTCAGCCAACAAGGCAAGCAGAATTCTAAGGGCTACTTCCTAATGCTGTTTGTTTGTAAGATAATTGGCATCCTTTTAAATAAAGGACTTAAAAATGTGCCCTATTTTGGTACTCTGAAACTAAGATACAAAGAGCATTGCAGTTGTTGATCAGGTATTGAGAATGCTCATGTCTCCATTTAGATCTCAAAATGCATGACAATGCCAATGTGAAAATACCATACAAATACTGGGCTTTCCCACAGATCAGCCAGCTACTGGGTTCAATGATGTGATTGGTTTTATTCAGGGAAACATCCATCACTGAGAGGATGAATTTTACCATATTCTTTTCATCAGGAATCTGAATTTTGTGTGAACTCTGATTCCTGGGATGAAAATGATTTTGTATCCACTATCTAACCTAGGTTTTTGAAAGAACTGATGCTTCCTAAATATTTGCTTCCTTTTCAACAACATAGCTGAGGCAGGCAATAAAAATCCATAGCGTGATTTTAGGTTAAATTTTTGGGTATTTATGGAAGAGGCTTGGGAAACTTTTTATGGCTGACTGTTTTAAAGCCTCCTGCTTTTTCCAAACAGCTGATAATACAGGGTCAGGACTTGCATCCAGGAAGAATCTATTTGAAAAAAGTAGTTATGCCTGTGCATAAATATGATTATTGATGTGATAGCATGGGATGCCAAAGTAAACTGATAATGGCTACTAATGACAGAAACAGACAGTACAAGATGCAGCATAATGAAACTGCAGGATTGTTATTCTGCTATATGGGAAGGCTTTGTTGTATTCAGCTTTGTCAGTGATACATCTGAATGGAATACACCTGAATTTATTAAGAATTCAGTTCTCTTTTCACTGACATGGGGATGTGTTGAGATTAGCTCTGCAAAATTGAATGGAAGTGTGAAGCCAATGTGAAAAAAGAAACAGGACCTAACAGGACATTTTAAATGAAAATGTGGCTTATGTGATTAAAAAAAAGAAATCTATCTGCATAACAGATCTCTTGTCCACTATCTCTGGATTCCCACCCCCCATCTCATGTTAGGGAGAACAAAATAGCAAAGAAGTGATCTGCCAGGGAAGAGGAGAATCTAGCCATCAGATAGTCAGTGTACAAAGCTGAGCATTTTTATTGGAGTAAATATATTTGAGAAGGCATTTTGCAAAGTAATTGTTTCTGCAACAAATCAAAGTAAAACAAAGTTAGTTCTTCACCCTGTGGCCCACTGTTGTGGCCCACTAAGGAAGGCTGCACTTACTGACTGCGAGCTGTCCTTGCTGTTATCCCTGGACTTGTTCTTTGCAAGTCTTTTTTTCTTTTTATGCAGGGGTCTTGACTCCAGGATCATCTCTTCCAGCTCAAAGGTGGGATCACAATGCAGACGGCCTTTCTGTTAGAATGGGACAAAGGTATTACCTCTCTGACTGATGCAAAAAGTGCATGTCAACTTGCACATTTAGGAATTACCTCTGCCATGGAAACCCACAGCACTACATAAAACTATACTTCATAAGATAAAACAAAAAAGTCATTAAAACATTGCTCTTTACTTACATTAGGAACAAAGCCAGCCTCCATCTTCTTCTCACAGACATCATCCCAGATGACACTGGATAAGTAGGATGAGGTCTGGATGTCCGTTAGACTGGAAAACCGATGCTCCGGGTTCACTGTCAACAGCTGAAATGACATGCACTGCAGTGAAGGAAGGTCTGGATTGAAAAAGATCTGCCTTCCACCCTAAGCTACAAGATAACTTACAAACACAATTCCCTCCCAGGGTAACACTGACCTCAGTATACACAGAAAAACAAGAGCTGAAAAAACCATCAACCATCATTACATTTGCAAAATCCAGCAGTCAAAAGTTTAGAGTGCAATGTTCATTCACCATCATTAGTCATCATTAGGTGATCACATACAAGTCTTCCTACCATGCCTCATTCAGTGGGCAGTTAATAAGCAGCTACCCAATATTTTATTTTTTCCTCATTGCTCAATGGGTGGATCCTGCCCTATTTGCAGTACACAATTCAAACCCCACTCTGAATACAGACTATTTCCTTTTCTATGGAGATCATCACTACAGTATCTGTGATCGGACATGATAGTCCCCCCATTTTTCAAATGACCAACTGAAACATGGAGATTAAAATCAAAAGTATTTACTAAATTTGGGCACCTAGGCTTGGGACAGACATTCAAAAAGCCTGAGCCTGAATTTGATTCACTCTTTGCAGGTTAGTCTAAGCTGTGCAGGTTAAACTGATTAACAACTGGACAGACACTCTCTGTTAAATCAAGAAATGCAGCCACATGCCTGCAGTGGCTCAAGCGAGAAGCTGGGGGGCACTAGAGCATGCCTGCCAGCCACTGCCAAGGGGGAGGGAAGAGAGATGCCCCCCCAAGGCTCTCACCCCTCCCTGCTGGAGTGGAGGGGGCATGGCCAGGCACCAGCCCAGGCTAGCACAACACACAGGATGCCAGCTACCAGCTGCGGGGGGCAGGCAGCTGCTGCCAGACTGAGGAGTGGGAATGGAGAAAAAGTCCTTTCTCTGGAGTAAACATGTATTGAACACAGCAATTTGCAAAGCATATAACAGGGAACTACCAAAATCTTTGCCTAAGCTAAGATACAGCCCAGTAAAACACAGCATACACAACTTAGTCTAACTTCAAATGTAAACCAGGTAGACAAGAATTGGTCTTACTAAGGGCCTGAGGGCAGAGTGTCTTCTTACAGCCAGGCATTCAGAAAGGCTTTGTTTAGGTATTCACAGTTTTTACACATTCTGGTATCTGCAACTTCCCTTAATTACTTCTCTAGCATCTGCGATGATTGTCAGGTCTTTGCCAACACTTCCCACCTCTCTGTCTGGCCCTGCAGGTCTGAGCTCTGGGCTCACAGGTGCATCCCTGCTCCAGGCAAGCCACAGAGACTGCAGCCAAACCCCCAGGGGCTCTGGGGGAGAGAGGGGACAGAGGAAGGAATTAACCCCATCTCTGCCTGGCTGCAGGAAAGCTGTGGGGGTGTGGCTGGGGCTGGCAAATCCCAGCTGTGGTCCCCAGGGTTTGCCAGTGGAGGATGCAGGGAGGGGACAAAGGGAGGAATTTGCCTCAGGGGCCTTGGCAGGCCAGCATCTGTCCATGCCCTGCCCCTGTTCCAGCTAGAGAGCAGGGGGGAGGGGCCAACCCAGTTCACTGGAGCAGAGCTCTGCCCCGCTCAGAGAGCATGCTGGGATGCTGGGGGAGTCCGATTTAAGTTAAACCAGCAAGTGGTCTGAGACAGACATTGCATAAACTGGTTTGAGCCAAATCAATTAAGCCTGATACTACATTCAGCCAAGTTTATCTCAAACCGGTTCAGCCATTTTCAAGCTGGTTTATGTGTACTTAGTGTCTGTTCTGTTACAGGTTTAAACCAGTTTCTGATCACGTAAACTGGTTTATGTGTAATGTCTGTCCTTACCCTAGTTTAAACCACCTAGGACCTGAGTTTTGGGATAACATAGCTATTATGTTTCCTCCCATTCCAGTCCCACCCTTCTAGTCTCAGTTTTCCCCCACTCCCAGATCCAGTCTTCACTGAGCATCCAGAGCCTCTAGCTTCTTGTTTCCAGTGCCCTAGTCCACACTGTCCTGCTTACCCCTCTTCTGGCTCCTCAGCCAATCTTTGTTTCTTCCTCACCCTTGCCTGTGTTTGTCCCACCCCATGGACATTCCCTGTCCACATTGGTTCCCAGTCCCAGGTTTTGCTCCATGCTTTTCACCCAGTGTGTGTATCTGTGTCCTCCCCACATATCAGTCTCTTTACCCAGCCAGTCCCAGTTCTCCCCCATGCTCAGAATCCTCATTGGATTTATTTTCCCATCCTCTCAACTCCTTTCACCTACACCACTGGCTCCCAGTCCAAGTTTCCTTGTCCAGCTATACCTAAACTCTTCTGTCTCTTTATCCAGTCTTAGCCCACTCCCACACTCCATACCTTATGCTAATTCCCCACTCCTCTATGAACTTCCAGCCCCATTTCTGCCGCCCTTTAAGGCACATTGCTCCAGACTATTTGCCTCCTTGCCCCTCCAAGTCCGTCTTCTGTCTCCTTTGCATTTGAATCAGGCAGCTTTCTCAACAACTACAAGCAGGGAAATGGTTTTTACTGTACTCTTTGTCTTACTCAGACTAAGACCCAGCTGGTCGCAATAGCCCAGAGCAGCAACTGTAGAGAAACTCTTGTTCTGAGCTGAAGCATAAACAATAAAGAAGCAAGCATAAGCAAAGAAAGAGCTCTGCCTAAAAATTTTTCAAGGAAGTCAGCTTGAGGCGGATGACTGGCACAGAAAATCTGAATCTAAGCAGTTCAAGTTAGGTAAATGTATCAATATGAGAAAACAAGGTCCAATATATGAAAACATGGTCCTATGGCAAGTACTGTGTAATCATAGCAGTGAATGCTTTCAGTCCTATCTAGCTTAGGGTCTGAAAGTGTTTATGGCTGATGGGCTAGTCATATCAATAATGCGACAGAATGCTGGGCTAGAGTGGGTGGGTTATTCCCCTTTTAAAAATAAATCCCATTTCAGTAAGGGAACAATGCATTCTAAGCAGGGGAAAGATAACATTTGCATTCAGCGTTTTTCCCATGCAGAAGGTGACAGCACAGGGAGATAACGCTGTAACATTCAGCATTCTAATTCAGTTTTGTGAGTAGGTATTTATGAGTTAGTTATTTGGATAAGCATCTGGACTTCTGGATGTTTGTGTAAACTACAGCAATAACATTTAGGTGGCACCTTGTTTTAAGAAAGCCAAAAAAGTAACACTTACGATCATGATACCACCACAATAGAGCAGAGCTCCTGGGGGATGAGAGCCTTACCTTGGTAATAGTAATTTAATTATTAGATCATTCATTGGGACTGAGAAAATGGTCCTGCATATTTGACTTGCAATGTTATAAATCCACATCACATTGGGTGGGTTGATTCTGGTAAAAACACACAAGATTCCTCACTATGTTCTCAGCAGCACTGCTTATGCATTTTTTGTTCTTTGGTCTTCCAATATATGGATAAAACAATATGCAAAATGCCTTCAATGTATAAATGCCTATGCAGTAAAACCTGCACAGAAGGTTTCTGCATAGAAGAATTACCTCTATTCAATCTCTATCTTAAATGTTTGGTGTAAAGCATACTCAAGGTATTGAGTACCAGTTTGTTTAGCACAGTAGGAGTCAACCTACTTGGCGTAGTGCCACAAATTAGACCTGCATTCTCCCTGAATGTCACTTAGATCCCCTTCCTCTGTCTGATTAGCTGCTCTGCTTTTTGTCCCCTGTTCTATGCTCCCAGCCTGATCTCCTGCTCTGCCTTCTGCTTCCTTCCCTGTCCCTTGCTGTGCTGCCTGTCCCCTCCCTGATCTGTCACATGCCACACACACAGGCTGTCCATGCCACAGGTTGGCCATCCCTGACTTGGCATTTTATGAAGGACTCTCTGCTTGAGAATGAATGCCTGATGATCCATGAAGTAGTCACTTAAAGCACTTTTCACTCCATAAAGTTGTCATCTTTAAAACATGGGCATTCATTTACCATCTGAAAGTAAATTAAATGACATATTTCAAGTGATGTCTTTTGACATGTAGTACACTTCAGCAGTGCTAAGTGACATGGTTTACCTAAGCAACTCTGTACCATCCTTTACATCACTTACAACATGTAAATCCCATTTTCTGATGATGATCACTGAACACCTGAAATTGGTTCACACCACAATGATACGTATACCTTAGCCCTCTTGTTACAATGGGCTGACTGAAACCCTTTGATCTTAACACCTTTACAATAAGTGCAAGCTACATGCAGAACTGCATCTATACAGTACTATTTTCAAAGCTGTGTTTACAATGATTACTTTTGTGGCATGGTTTGGGTGGCTGCAGAATGAACAGTGTCCTTAGCTCCCCAAAAAGCAATAACATCTGTATGCCATACTGCAATATCATTTATAGCCTACTTGTGCTGCAGAACAGTTACAGAGCTAATGACTGGTGGTAGCTTGCTAGAGCTGTGAATCACCTACTGCCTCCATATTTCTCCCTCATATATGGCTCCCACTTGTACTTGTGAAGGGCCAATGAGAAACTTACATTGAACTTAATGATGGTTTTATGTGCACATAGCTATTAGTGACCCACTACTGAAAAAAAATTGGGTCTGTTGAAGGGGTAATGTTCCATGGAGGGCTATAAAGAGAAAGCATTTGATTACTGGTTGCTTGGTAGCTGGGGGCAGAGGTGGGACATCTTGGTGTTTCTGCTCACAGATCTTTAATTCTATACATAAGGTTCTCTTTAAAAGCTTGTATTCTCCAAGTTACCCCAGTAGGTGGCGTTTGTGTCTTGCTGAGAAACTTGTATTGCACTAATAACTAACAATTCTGCTTTTCATTAAAATAAAATCTAATTATGTAAATTTTCCACCCAACATTAACTTATATTGGAATCACTTATTTGCTGTCAGCAGTATGTATATCTCTTTTGTACTGTCTTCATCAGCCACTGTTTTGGAATCCTTAAATAAGCTGGAAAGTCAACATCAGCTCCAAACCCAACACTTGCTGCTTAGATATAAGCGATAAAATGAAAATGTCAAAGTAACTCCCCCTCTCCAGAAAAAAAGCACAAAAACAAGAAACAAATAAATGCATTTCTCATAACTTAGAGACCAAAAGCAGATTCTTTGATGTTGCAGAACTGAAGAGAGAAGACATTATCACAGCAGGGTTGCCAAACACCTATATATTTAATGCTGTAGTCATTCTGTGGTGAAAGGTAGTTATTTCAGCAATCGGCTACAACTCCCAGAGTACTGGAAGCAATACATTTCCATATAACGTTAAAGCTATTTTAACCTACTTAACCATTTGATTGTAGCACTTAAGCCAGTCAAGGACCACTCTTCATTTGCTAACAGACAGAAGAGAAGGGGGATAATCATCCTATTAAAGAAACAAATGACTAATCAAAGGATATGTCACAGCAATTAAATTGTGCTAACCACTGAACTGATAGACAAGGGACTCCATTTCAGTGTTTGGTTAGTTGGTAATACCTTGAAAGAAATGGACAGTTCCCAGTTAGCCCTACACATGTAGTTAACACACAATTGAAATTATACAAAAGAAACAATATTTACCTTTCTTAATAAAGCAATCATTTCCTTTGACCATGTTGCCGTATACTGAACACTCACAGTACTGAAGAGTTGAATTAAAGACTCTACAGGGTTACTGGAGTGGATGTCATAGGGCCTCTGAGGAAAGAAAATCGAAATATGAAAATATAAAGGCTGTTCTTTTCTTTGAAGACCACTAGGGGGAAAACAATGTTCTGAAATCACTAGAATATTAAACAGGAAAAATACCACACCCATCCACGAAGAAGTTCATATGCCATCACTCCCAATGACCACCAATCAACTTCAAAGGAGTAGCCTGTCCCACCATTCACAAAGGAGTGAAAAATCTCTGGAGCTATACAGAAAGACAAGAAAACAACATCTTATACACTGCCTGCAGGATCTATTCCCATTTCAGCTGCATGTTTTGTGAAAAAGTTAGTTAATGGTTGCTATAATTATTGTTACAGGCATGTAGGTTGTAGCCGTGTTGGTCTAAGGACATAGGCAGACAAGGTTCTTTGGGTGAATCTGATATCTTTTATTAGACCAACTTAAATAGTTGGAAAACAATTATTAAGCAAGCTTTCAGGTTCAAAAACCCTTTGTCAGGCTAAGGAAGTTTCAGCAGTTGGTGTGTGCTCTTCCTGGATGGAATGAAAAGTAAAGAAGCCAGAGGCTGGTCTGGTCTACCAAAATATATCAGATTCACCCAAAGAACTTTGTCTGCCATAATTATTGTTATACATTAATAATAGGATCGTAGGAAAGCAGGGCTGACAGGCACCTCAGGAGATCATGTAGTCCAGGTCCCTGTTCAAGGCATAAATGGGACTTTCCATGACAAATAAGAAACTAAACCTTTTGATCACAGAGTTTTGAGTTTTCCCAGACCTTAATAAAGTCAAGAGAAACTGAACAAACGCAGCAGCTCTCAGGAATAGGTTCCAATAGGACAAGAACAACAGAAGTCAATTACAATACTGGGGCATTGGCAGGAGGCTGCTCGCAAGCAGTGGGATCATGAAGAACTTTTTAGGGGGAATAATTCACGTATATCAAAATGTTCTGGGTGTTGGATGCAAATCAGAGATTGCAAATGGTGAGCATGCTTCAAAAGTAAAATATGGAAATAATGAATGATCATTATATCTTACCCATATATGGCTTGGTTCCAGCTAACGCAGTTGCTCTTTCACCATCTCTGATTATTGTTGCAATATTAAAATCTGTTAGATGTGCATGACCTTAAAAGTAAAGTGTGTTTTTTAAGTAATTAATAAAATAAAAAGGAACTTATAGAAACACTTTACATTCTTCAGAAAGCATTTGATTCTAAATAGTTTACCAAAGCTTCAGTTTCTGTTAGTATGAGCACAATTGAACAAGAAGCAGGTAATCACAGTGTGCCAGAATTAAGCACAGAGGGAGGGAAAGGCCCAATGTACCATCACAAAAAGTATGGGCAAAAGATTAGAAAGCTTTAAATCTATTAGTGTATGTGCCTTGGGGACCGCCATTCTAGATTATCTCACATTTTTCATCATGAAGATATAATAATGTTCTAAATCTTATATAAAGCAATGAAGATGAGGAAAATATGGTACTGAGGTCTTGCCATAACATCACCAATAGAAATGATGTTTCCTTGAATCATTTTAGATAAAAGCCAATTGACTATTATCAGCCAAACTTGGAGTAACATTAGTGACTTCCTATGTAGCAAACCATAGGAAGAAACTGGAACCAACCTAGCTGACTCCTCACTTAACATGTCAAATAAAAATGTCTAGATATGTTTTCCCTATTTCCACATGGTTTATTTGGTAAACCATGGTAATCAGGACCAAAAACAGAACTTAAAATAATACTGTGAAAAAATGTCTTAGAAAAGCTCATGAAACCATCTATTCTTGTTAGAACTGCATCCCAGTCTTGTACAGCCAAGAAGTGTGAATTAATTAGGTAAGCATTCAGCTCCCTCCAAGCCTTTTGACATTCCAGATCATAAGATTTTTTAATGTTATTATAAAATCTATTATGTACTTTCCTATACAAGTCATACATTTAGACAAGTGCTTTTTGTTGCTATTAAGAATTGACATATGGGCAAATCAAAGTAAGGGCTGCATTTACTGCCTGTTGCTGATTTTCACTATCTTGCCCACCACTCAGGTGAAGAAAGAGAAGGCAGTCTCCTGGTTGCGGTGAGTACCATAAAACAGGAGCCTCAGGATGTTTGTGTTTATAATTAGGGGCCTAAGTTGTAGCATGACAACAGGTTTTTTGCAGCCCACTTATGATGTGCAGAGCTGATTTCACAGGCATTTTGTGGTGGCCCCACTTTTCACCACTGATTGACAGAGGATGTTTTCACTTAGTCTACCTCACTACTGCTTTTTGGGGGATTGATTTCACAGGAAATTGTGGCCATTGCCAGATTTCCCAGTGACTGTGGACAACGCAGTTTTTCACAGTTTCTGTGAAATATGTGAAACCACAATTTAGGCCCCTATTTATAATTTCTGCAGCTTTAATCATGCATGGGGCAATACAACATGCTCAGGCAGGACCAAATATCTTCTTCTCTTTCCTTGCTGTATAAATCAATACAGCTTAAATATTATGTGGCTTGTTGCTGAGTACCTAGAGAGAGACTTTGTTTGTGGTTTAAGCGGGCTGGCTGTACCGTATCCCTCCCTTTTTTTCCTTGCGTAAGAGGCTGTTTGATAGCTATATGAATTATGCAAATAAGAATGATGCTGCCTGCCCTGCAAGACCCAAAGACATTGAGCTACGTGGACAAACTGTCAAGCATATGATTAAAAATCATCATAAGCTCACTGGCCAGTTTGCATTCAAGTGTCTTCTTTGGATCAAAAACATAGCATTTGTGAGGGAAGATGCAACACTCTCTATGAGGTCCTTGAGAGATTTCAGTACAGAGAAAAACAAGACCTCACCACACTCCAGTTTAGCATAACAGACTTTTTGTTGTAGTGAACCCCACTGTTCCTAAATCCTTAGCTCAGATTGTACTTCCTGCGTAAACAAGGCTGCTCTCTAAAAGAGGCTGGCTACACGCCAGTCCCATCTTCCATATCCATATTGCTTAGGTGGCTATTCATAGATTACCTGTATAATAACCACATCATATTAAAATGACCTTAAAAGTAGCATATTAAAATTTGTAGTCAATTCATTTACTCTGTCACAAGGCAGATGAGAAGGATCCGACATGAGATGCAGCAGGTCAAGAGCTTATTTCAAAACTTGCCTGAGGAATTGTAACTTTCAAACCAAGCTAGAAATCTAGTTCAAAGAAAATCAGTTTTTTTTTTTTTTTTTTTGGAAGCCATTTTCAGTCCTGTATCTGCATATCCCCACGGATATTTATGCAGATTATATGCATGAATCAATAGCAGACTGTAGCCTATTTGGACCTCTTGTTTCCTCCTATTATATCACATTTTTCTTATTTATAAGTTTTTTTTCAGTGCTTTATGAATCTGCACATTGGCTTCCAGTGAATTTCCAGGCAAAGCTTCAGCTGGTGGTTTGAACCAACATACACCAACATGTTTTTAGTTACCCAAGAGATTGCTCCCCTTTCTCTGTATTATGAACTGCCACAGGTGAAATAAACAGAGGCATTCAGTGGAGCTTCCTCAATATAAAGCTGCTGGGAGTAAGTTCTTAGTGCAGGGTAGAATTTAATTTCCACTTTGTTAGAGCCAGATTTGTCAACTTTGTGAGCAGGCTGCTGTAAAGTCCACCTTTTCATGTTTGCTCTAAGGCTGCTGGAGAAACTGGGCTCATAGGCATCCTTTTGTTTATGCTCTTGTTGCCATTTTTAATTTGGAGCACAAACTTCCAAAACACTGGAGTGGATAGGTAACTTTAGTTGTATTTCTAAAATTCAGCATGAAGTTCCCATACTTCTTTTCTTGACTCCAAGGTTCCAAAGATGAAAAGGCAAGTATGGTATCTTGGTAACCTATCATGGAAACACATACTGAACACTGTTTATTAAAACAGTGTAGTGGTAATACGCCTGAGTTTGAAGGTATTAATATTAAAATCTTTGAAGAAAAAGTCACATATTTATCAGAGTGATTATATATTTTTAAAATTTACAGCCTTAATTTATAACAAACCTATTTAGGGCTTCATTCTCTACTGTCTTGAATATCTTGTGTGTAAAAATAAAGTAATACTAATAAAAATACTACCAAATCAGAGCCAGGGGTGTTATGTGCATACTATGTCCATGTATTAAAAGAGCCCACGATATGCACAATATCACACCTATAGAGCTAGACAGATTTTGTTTTTTCTCACCTTGTTCATCAAGGAGAATGTTGTCTGGTTTTACATCTCTGGAAAATAAAAAAAGTTATATGTAAGATCAGCTCATAGCTCATGGAAGAAGCAACTCAAAGGAAAAACAGAACTATTGCTTGTGACTCAATAATTAGTGTAGAAGAATATAGAACAAAATAACTTAGCCTGAAAGAAAACATTCATAGCATGGGCCACCTCTCTTATATTGATTAGATAAATATTTTTTCTGTTTAATCAAGTGAAAGGGCTGGAACAAAACTTTTAGACCTTGTTTATCCAAACCTTCTCCGAGAATTAATACTTGAAAGATCATTGTGAATAATTCTTGAGAACTCACCCAAATACTTGTCCATATGGATCTTATTTACATTGATGTAAATTTAAGTGATGCCGATTGTTAGCAATAGAGCAACTCCAAATTTTACACCCAGTACAAATGAGGGCAGAATCCCTTTTTGTCCAGCAGATGGTATAGCCAGGTTCATTTTAAATAGAAATTGGTCTCTGAATAACAAATGCTTATGATGTTGAGATTCTTGTTACACTATAATCTAACAGGGACAAATTCCTCTTAAACTCAAATGTAGACCCCAGTGAAGCTACACCAGTTTATACCAGGTGAGGATATGGCCCTGCCCTGTCTAATGATCCTGACAATCTCAGTTATCTGTATTGGTTTATTTAAATGCACAGTTTTCAACAGCTGAGAGTAACAGATTTTGCTGTACCTGTGAATAATATGCTGACTTCGTAAATAATCTAGAGCTAGTGCCATCTCGCAGATATAAAGTTTCACTGTTTCCTCTGTAAACTGAACATTTTGCTGAAGATGATATCGTAGATCGCCACCTAGGAGTAAATCTACTACCATAAACATGTCCTCTTCATCCTGAAATGAGTACCTACAGAAAACAAAGATGAGTTAACAGCATAGCACCCTGCAACTTTCATGGGTGCTACGAAATGATGGAAAGGTTTTTGGTTCCCCCCCCCAACAATTATACAGCACCTGTGAAATAACAACCACAAACCTTGCATTTGCCCAAGCAATGTTACAAACATATGCCAGCATCAACTTTTACATTGTTTTAATTATGCACGCATGATTCAAGATACTGTTTCATTTTTTAACCCAAGATTGGTACATTACATGTGGGTGAATTCATTTGTTGGATGTCATCCTCATTTTGTAGCTGTTATGTGTCTTTCCATGCAACATTTCAATGAAGGAGCAACAATCCTAATTAATTTCATACCACTTGTACTGTCCATTACTATATCTAAAGCTTTTATTTGACTTCTATATTTTAAATAACTTTCTTCCTAATATAATCAATACTGTGTTGGACTAATGAGCAGCAGGCCAAACATAATTATCTGATGAAGCTCTGTGCCATTAGTTCTAATGAGTTGCTGATATCGAGTAGGTTACCCAGAGCAACTCTCTCCTTTATTATATAACACAAGGCCAGCATTAATGCTAATTCTTTTTCCTTGATCTGGCTTCTCTCCACCATTCTAGTAACCTCTGGAGACAGTGAAGGACCTATGATAGCCAGAGGAGAACTGCCCAAGTGCAGGAGTGATACAGACCTTATAGACTCAGTATTTTGCTGCACCTCCTCAAAGGTTTGTCCATTCAGCTCATGGCTGTGGTGCTTCTTGGGTACAATACAAGCCATAAACTGGGAAAAGCTGTTATAAGTGTAGCTTTTGAGACTTCAAAGTTATATCACTAATATTTTCACTGTTAGTCCAACATTGAGAGGGCACCTAGATTTTGTAAAGACTTTTTGATGCCCACCCTTCCTTTGTTATGTCTGTGGGGTGTTGCTTATAGACTGTGTCCTACCCAGTTGGCCAGACTGTCCTTGTATTATACAATATGCAAATTCACTGGTGCCAATGGATGATGCGTAAGCATTGACAATGGAGGGACACAACTTGACGCCACTGCCACCCCCACCACTGCTGAACACTGGCTCTGGCTGAGCTGCAGCCCCATGCCCCACTGTTAGTACAGAAGTTGCACCACTGCTGCTGCCCATGGGCCTTGGCTCCAGCTGGGCTGCAGCCTATCTGCCATCAGTGCAGAAATTGGGGGGGAGGTCACATGCCCCCTGTGACTCCCCCACACATCACGTATGAATAGAACCTCACACAGCCTACCCCAGGGCAGCTTGAGGGCAAATGCCATCAGATGTTACCAATACCTGCTACTTATTTTTTTTAAACCTTCCAATGTACATATATCTCCAAGTAAAGACAAGCAAAGGGCTAATGTTAGGATGTGCTCAGTGGGAACGGAGAGTTATTTAAGTGCATATTATGGGAGGAACTAAGCACCACCCAAGGTGAGGCTCCATATTTACTTAGCTGAAAATAACATAAGGTTTCTAGGGTCTAATTTTCTGCTTGACCTTACTCAGATCTCTTGGATCGTATATCTATGCTTTTGCCAGCAGAAATAACTGTGGATGAACCTTTGCACCCACACTTTTATTTGTAAGTGCTCTTTATATCATTTTGTGTTTCCACAGCTCCCCTCCTTCTGAAATTGTGGGTGCCTAGTTCTGAAAAGCAAGCCTTTAGGTTATGTGTATACTGCACAATGCAGGGCTGGGTAGAGATAACCAGAGCAACACAATTAATTGGCTTTTCTTTAAGGCTAGCATTGTGCAGCATAGACCCCGATCTCTTTTGTGGGTACCATCAAGTAAATTATCTAAAAAGCACCTGAAACTAAGTGCAGAATGGTTAGATTTTAGGAACACAGGGTATAAGGCAGGAAGGGACCTCTTGGAACAGTGAACCCAGGCCCCTCTTATTGCAGGAAACCACCTAATCCTGCCTATGGATTTATAAAGATCTGCATTAAAGTTCACCAAGGTTTTTTCTCCCACTACTTTCATTGGAAGGATGTTACAGAACTTCATTCTCCAGGGGTTAGAAACCTTCTTATTTCTAGTTTAAATGTATTCATGGCCAATTTAGGGTATATTCTTCTGCACTTATATAAAACTTCTCTCTTTAATGTTTGTTCCCAGATGTATTTATACTGAACAACCGTATTCCCTCTCAGCCTTCATCACACTACACTAAGCAAGTCAAGCTCTTTCAGCCCCTCTCATATGACAGGCACTTTCTTCCTCTGAACATCCTAGCTAACACATATTCTCTTTTCCAGTTTGAACTGATCTGGCTTGAAATGAGTGACCAGAACTCTACCCTGTATTATCCTGTATTCCAGATGAGGTCTTACCAGTTCCTTGTATGATGGATGACATTAATACTTCCCGATCTGTGATGTAAATACATTTACTGATACAACCTGGAATTGTATTAGTTTTTTCCACAGCCACATCACATTGATAGTACCCAGTCATGCTGTGAAACTGTAAAGCAGATATTCAAAATCTGGTCCATGGTTTCATTACTGTACTTATTATGTGTATTGTAAAAATTATTAAGTCAAACCACTCACCCAGTGCTGCACAGTTCCCAATTACCTTTCAGAAATGACTCATCTCATTAAGAAGGATACTTCAGAACTCTTCTCAAGAGCCTCATTTTAACTTCAGACTTTTCCTCAATGTAGGTTTATCTCAATGTTTCACAACTGAAATTTCTCCGAATATTTTGAAAATGAAGTACTGTATTTACTTGAATATAAGATGACCCACATAATTTGATTCCGTATACAGAACATTTACAGGGGTGTAGGTTGTAGCTGTGTTGGTCTAAGGACATAGGTAGACAAGGTTCTTTGGGTGACATTTATGCATTCATTATAATTTTCCAGGTATAAAATCTAATTATTATAGGTTTGCTTTCAATTTGTCCCCTTCCCACTGCTACAACAGGGAAAATAAATCTGGAGAGTCAGATGGGCCCCCTTGCCCTCTGACCCCCCAGCTTCTTCCTCCTGCAGCTCTTTCCAGCCCCATCTTACTATCAGACCTTGCTCTCCCTGAGCACATAGAAGTGAGAGGCAAATCTGAAAACGCTCATCTTGAAATAAACATATCTGTGGTAATTTACATATAGGCAAATTCCTACAGGTACCTATAGACTTAGTTCATCCAGAATTAATGCATTTTACCTTTTTTGAAACTGCTGCAAGTTTTAGCACAGGTACTCCATAAACATACATTTAAGCAGCACTTTGTACCTACTTTATGTATAGTATAAACTATGCATGATATCAGCCTAAAGGCTCCTAATTTACTAGATAGTTCATTGGGCTGGACCCCAGCTCAGCTCTGCTCAGTATGTCTGCATGCTTCAGATATGCTCCCTCCAAAGGATCCATCTGCTAATTAGCCCTTCCCACTCACGACTGGAACTGGGTGTCCTGGGACCCACCAAAAATGTGAGGCGCAACCTTGTCTGGCTCCACCTCATGGCTTCACACTAATCATATGTGACAGGCTGAGAGGGGGTGACAGAGGGATTCTGGGTGAAGTGTTTGGGACTCTATTTGGTGATGTTTGCCAGACATTTAAGGCTGGAAAAGAAACGAATTATTGGAAATGGGAATGAAAGGCATATCTCAGCTGTCAGAGTGAAGAGGAAGTTAAAAAATATTCAATGTAGTGGCTCACCATTACTTAAAAAGAGTCTGTGCTGAAGGAGACTGCATGCAAGGGGTGCTACTGTATAGCTGAAGTTGCACTTGGTTATCTTTGTGGTAGGTTCCCATCAGCATCTCATCCTTTTAGCTAAGATCATGCATTTTTGGCACGAAGTGGGAGATATGAGGCTGGCTCTACCCCTCCTGCCTGGTGCCAGTTCCCTCCGTGCGGACCAACTGCCTGTGTGTTTTTAAGGACCGGACACACACAAATAAAAAGGTTCCTATTAGTATGTTTGCCCTATACAGGCTGTGTGTTTTATAGCCATGCTGAGTGTTGGCTGTATTTAATCAACTTCATAGTTAGTTTCCATTACTGAGCACATGCTGCCTTTGGCAGCAATTTAATGATAGACAATGTATTTAAGGAAGTTTCCTTGAACAGGAATATAAGATGAGGGGCTTTTTCCCCATGCTGATTTGGGGGAGTGGGGGACACACCTCATTTTGTAGTCAAGTAAATACAGTAAGTGAACATATGTGCCAAATTAACACATAGAAGAGCAGAAAAAGGAGCTTTGTTTTTTGCAAAAACAGAATGGTCTCATAAAACCTGTAATAATTTACTCCTGTCAAAAGCTTACCATACTTTGGATGTACCCTAAAGGCATTTTCAATGGTTATATTTGGCTGCAGTTTTTCTTAGAGAAACTGATGAATCATGAATTGCTATTAATCTAAGTATGTCCTAGGAGGAAATGTACACCTTACTAGATTTTCTTAATGAGCAGAGAGAGGTAGTTAGCCATGTAAGTCTGAAGTCCAACAGAAATTCTGCAGGGTAGATTTGCATCCTATAGACTAACTAAATCAGAGCTATGTATATAGCATAAGCTTTCATAAGCCCAACCTCCTTTAACACGTGCTGTGAAAACACATGCATAGACCAGTGTATACAATGGAGACAGCTTTTGTACTCAAATCATTTTCTCTGTTTTATACATTGCTCTGTGCATGTCCTTCATAGCATCCAATGAAGTGAGAGGTCATGAAAGTTTATGGTATATGATTCTATGATTTAGTTAGTCTTTAAGGTGCAAACCTGACTTCTGCCATCTTCTTAATGACTACAGCATAGCAATTTGAAAATCATAGCAATTGTCTTGACTTCTTCAGTCTACTACCTAAGACATTATTCCTTCACTTCGTAATTTTGCTTTTTTATTGTTGCTGAGTTAGAATTTCAGGAAAAAATATTAACATGTCCCAAGTGCTAGCACTGGCTAGTGAAAAAAAATATTTTGATACAAATGTTCCCAGCAATTCTATCAGTGCTGATTCTGCCTGTCCTGCTATTAGCTATATGAATCTTCTCTAAGGAAAATGTCTGCTAATCATGCTGAATCCAATATTAACCCATCATTTCTGTATTAACACATCCATTTCAGCAGCAGGGCACTGACATTGCTTTTGTCTCCTTTTCTTTTTGGTGCATTGTAGGGTGTTCTTGTTGTTATTGCTTTGTATGCCTTACAGTTGTGGTGTTTAGGGGTTTGATGTGGGAAATTTTTAAGACTGACTCTCTAGGTCCAGGAAGCCTCTTCCCATTCTACATCCCTACATTCTTAATTCTGTTGTTTGTCAGGTCAACAGCTATTAAGAGGGACTGATTTTAGGCTAATGTACATATTTAATGACAAAAAGTAAATATCCTGTCAAGGGAAAACAATGTGTATTATTAATGTGCTGCATTTGTTTTTGACATGACATGTCATTTTTGTCCACCCATTGCTTTCAAAGTGAATGTGTTTTTTATTTTGCTATCACACATACATTTCTGCTGTTATTAAGAGATGCAATTGTGTGAATGTAATTTGGAAAACTGCTGGACTGGAAATATTGGCTACCAGTTTTCATCATACTCCCCAAATTGCAGTTGTAGAAATAGTGGTTTTAGACAAAGATATTTCATCATTTGAAAGAATATACTGTGAGCAACAACAAAATGTGTGAAGCCACCTGGAAAAAATAACTGCCAGGCAGAAGTTAAGCAAACCAATATCAATGTTTAGGCTGTAAAAAGATACCACTCCCCTTTTACCTATTCATCCCCTGTCCTAGTATGGTACTCTTGCTCTCACTGCCTTACAGACTCCCAACAGGTCCAGTTCCTTTCTAGCACTCAGCCATGGATGCGATCTTCCCCACTATCTACAAATAAGAGCTGCAGATTCACCAGTTGGTCCCCAAGATCTTCCAGCAACCTGCTTTACTCCTTTCTAATGTTCTCTTTAAGAAGCTTTGATAGCGTGGTCTTGTTTTTGTACCCTGCCTGCCAATGAATCTTACAAGCACTGATGTCCAAATGCACTCATGAGCCTAAATCTCTGAACATGCAACATTTTAATTCAGCTTTTGGGACTAAACTACAAAGATGATAGCCCTACTGATCCCTGAAAAACAGGCTATGGTCTGTCTGAGTGTGGTGGACAGACAAAAGTTTCAGCAGGAGTAGCTTGGAGAGCTTGGATGAAGGAGAGAATCATGCAAAAGTGTAGAAAAGCAATATCAGCGCAGATATGCTTCAAATAAACATCACCACTATCATACTCATACCATACTCATCCCAAAGGAATTTGTAAACCTTTGCCATTTAATGCATCATTTTCTATAATCTGCAAATAAATTTGAGTTCCATAAAACTTAATAATGCAAATAAGTCAGAGTAATACAAGAATGCACTTTTAATTGCCGAGTTGAAAGCATCATAATATTTTATGTTTACAGTGTGGCTTTCAATAATAAATGCTGTACATCTGGCAATTCAAATAGACTGCTATCGTGTTTCAAAAGGAGAATGTGAGCTGAACATAGTTTTAAATTTGGAATTTGTCACTACTATGAGCAGTTCTAACTTGATGGTGTGGCCATTGGTAAAGATTATGAAATGACCAGTTTGCTGAACAAGTGGTAATGATTTCACTTTTTTTTTTTTTTTTTTTTGCTGTGATGTCCCTAGAACATGCAAATAGTTTTAGCCAATAAATCTTTTGAAATGCAGCTTTGTCTGGATGCTTTTCTTAAAACTTATGTACTTTGTCACTTGAGCAAACCTAGTTTATCGCATATAATTCACCAGAAAGTGTCAGAGTCCTCATGTCCTCATGTAAGTGTAACTATCTGTTTAATTAAATCTTACTACTAGAAGTGTTTAACTTCAAGCTTATTTTCTAAACTGCACCCTAACATGCTTTACCTTAGGTTATTATTACCTCAGATTATTTTAAATTTAACTTGAAAAGTGGTAGCTAAGCAATTACCTGATTATGGAAGATTTGAAAGAAAACTTACTAATTTAAAACAAATCTCAATCTTGTAAGATACAATGTGAAATGCATTTTAAAATGAACTTAACAATCAAACCTCTTAAGACAGCAACCACTGAGGGGATAGAGCTATCTCACTGGATTTCTTTCATGGCCTCTTGGGAAGAGCACAACAACTGACAGCTGAGTGTCACAGCAAAGTGCACATGAATACATACAGTCATCAAAAAAGTGTACATCAGAGAAGATATTTACCAGAGATTCACCAAGAATACGTGTTCAATTTCCTGCAGGATCTCTAGTTCCCTAAACACATTTCGAACTTCATCTCTTTCAATGCATTGCTGTTTGTTCATGTACTTCATGGCATACATCTTCTCAGTGTCTCTCTTCTGCACAATACACACCTAGAATCATAAAGAAATATTGTTAGATATTTTACTTGCTCTTTTATCTCACTGAAACTTCTTGGACTCACAAGTGTGCAGAATTCAAAGGAAGTAAAGACGCCTTGTCATATCACACACATTGTTAATTCAAGTATTTCTTAGACATAGGCCTGTGAGAAGTTGTGGATCTAAACATGAACATGGGTCGGCAGTGTGGGGATGGAGTCAGGAAGGCCAACCGCCCCTTGTCATGCATCCACAGATGCATCTCAAGCAGGTCCAAGGAGGTGATCCTCCCCCTCTATGCGGCACTGGTCAGGCCGCAGCTGGAGTACTGCATCCAGTTCTGGGCACCGC